ATTGAATTATTGAACGATGAAAAAAATTGATGTTCTGACCTTTACTTATAAAATATGAAAGTTTCTCGATCAAACAATATCTCAAGAAGGAAATGTGGTTTTCAATTGAAACATTTCTGAACAATTTAACAATCAAGAGATCTACTCATGTGCAAAATTTCACATCAGACTTATCATCATTCGATCTTTTACTAGGTTCGAAAACTTAATAAAACGGTCATAATTTCGGAAGGACAAGGCATGAACCGTCCTGAGCATTCACTGACTTCAGTGTGTTTTACATACGGACAAACTATGAATTCGATCGATGTTTTCTTATTAGTATTAAATTTATAGTGGTACAGACTTGAAAGTAATTCTTTATCGTTGTTCATAAGTTCGAAATGTCTTGCTTCTACATTGTGACTTTGTCTTTGTTCTAGAAGTATTACTTAGATATGAGTGGTTTTAAGTCTTGAATAAAAAAGTTTAAGTGTCGAAGGACGTCAGTTCGATGATGTCCCATCTATCTGAATAATTGCAGATTAACAGTAAAATATGATTTTTTGTTTATTTTTATTTTCGGGTAGACACAGCTTTTAGCATCTCCGCCTCACATCACTTTTTGATCTCTGATTCGCAAGAAGAATCATCATAACAACAGTAAGGATGAAAACAAATTGAAACATTCCAATTCTTACTATTTTGTTGAGTTTCTAGTCTAACCCTATCAAGTTGGGCGTAGTTCTCCTCTCTTTTTGATCAAAAACTCGATTTCAAGCTAAGCATAAGGTATGATAGTTTCAAATGCCATGTACAATTAGAGACATCATTTGACTTCGAACCTTTACGTATTTGTCTCATAAAAAAAAAACAGATTTCTGAAAATGCTCAGAAATATCTCGAAAACAATTTTTCAAGTTTCATGAAAATTGTAATATACCAGGATGCGGTCATATGGAAAATCCTCTTGAAAACTTTTTTCCTCCGAGCACATGCCTCCTTATTTCAGATGCTCTATGTATAGCAAAAATTTTAATCTAATCGTTTGTATCCTTTTCGAAATTCAGAAATGGTCAAAAAAGACTCAGAAGGTACTCTTAAATCTTTATCAACAACATTTATCCTAGACATTTAAGTCAATCAAAAAAATCAAATCAAACTTATTCAAATACTTCGTTTTCATATAACTACATTCTTATCTTAAAGAATTTCGAACGGAAATTATAATTTTTGTATATAATATTACCTCATTATTTAAATATGTAATTGTTTCAACTTGTCGTTGTTTATCATATTCATGTTTTAGTATAAGATTTTGTTTATAATCAATATCCTGTTGTAAAAGCATATGATTTGTATATGCTGTTTTTAAATCTTCTTGAAAACGAATACATTCTTCACGTAATGCAAAAATATCTTCATCTGAATTATGTTCAGGTAAACTTTTTAATTTATCTATTTCATCCGTTAATCTACAATTGAAAATAATTAATTGAAAACAAAAAAAAAATACATATTATTTATATTTTTTTAATATTTTACCTTTGATTTTCTCGTTCAAATGTTGCACGTTCAAGTTCTATTCGATTATTTTTTTGTTGAAGTTGTTGACAATGTATACGAATTTCTCTGTCATGTTTAGTTTGTTTTAAACGTTTTGTACCAATCAAAAGAAAAATTAAACTAAATAAAAAACACATTGTACAACTCAATGTAAACCATATTGTATTCATTAAAACTTCACGATCATCATTATGTTCAAATAAAATTGTTTGTAGAAATGTTGGTAACTAAAACAAAAAAATTAATATTAAATTGAATACAATAAGCAATTAAATAAAATAAAAAATAAACATTCATACAATATTGATAAAACGAAAAATTTCATTTTCTATTAATTCAATAGTTGTTTCGAATTGTTTTGGTAAATGCCAACATATTTGTCGATATTTATTTGTTGATATTTTATCGTTATCATTCACTATTGGAGTTGATGAAAGTAAAGTCTGATTATCATCAATCTAAGATAGTTAAAGATTTAAATTTTGAAAATATTTAACAAATATCATTTACTTTTGATTCAATTTTAGATACATATTGATTTGAATCATTATTATTATCATCTGTTTGTGTTTCATTCTCAATCATATAATCTATTGTTGATGGTAAAGACAAATTCGTATCTGATTCCAATAATGATTCATTTGAATGTTTTTCTTCATCGTTGTATGATTGAACAATCATATTTTCTATTTGATTATCATCTAATAGAAAATATAATTTCATTCTAAAAGTTAACTCTCAACTAATACAATTTATAAATCATATGTTCATTCATATTCTCAAAGCTCCTATAAATTTAAACATTGATAGTCAGAATCGATCATTTCCTTCAATAGTACTGATCAGGAGGAGATGATAAGTTCCTATTTCCAGAAAATTCAAATGAAATAACTATGTGCAAAAATTTCATGGAAGTTTAAATCAATGTTTTTGAGATATAAACATAGGAAATTGATTTCAATAGAAAAATAATATAGAAATGATATCTATTTTTTGTGAAACATGATCGAAAAGAAATATCGGAGTATATAGGGTAGAAATTTGCATGCACTCCTCTCGTGTCACAGTTTGCGGCAGACTTTGTTCATATATGATCAAAGGATCTTATATAAATAACGTCTTGTAATAATATATGAGCTACTTTATTATTGCATTACTAGAAGATTAAATAAAAAGATAGTTAAGAAATATATCACAAAATAGGTAAAATAATACAATCTTCATATGATTAGCAATAGTACCTATATATCGCGTTTCATATTTTAATCCCGCAAGGTCTACATTAACAGCTTTTCATCATAGAATGAATCTTTTGATCCAATCTAATGCCAAACTAGGAGTTGTATTCCTTGAATTGAATATGTAAAAGCGAATTTTTTCTGTATATCATCGATACTTAATTTATATGCTTATAGCAAATGATTTATAGCAATTTCAATAGTGTTTTATCTAGCGTAGAAGGTGGCGCCTCTCCGAAGATCCGTTTAATCCTGGCGGAGTTTGTGACTTTTCTATGTACTATTCTCTACCTGTTATAAAAATATTTTCATTTTGTTGTTGATCTGTTTGAATATGTCGAGAATTTATATGTACATTTTGATGATGTTTAGATGTTACTGATACTGGAATATGAGATTCATATTGTACAGTTGATGTGTCATTGGTTGTTGTTGTTGTTGTTATTGGAATTTGTGAATGTTGTTCTGATAAATTACTATTGTTTATTGTATTAGAAATTGATTGTTGTGTATTTGAAGATGATGGTGTATGATTTGATATTGATTTGATATGTTCCTGTTGATTAGATTGTGTTGATGATAGAGTTTGTTGAATTGTATCAATTGTTTGTGAATTAATTTGTGTTTCTATTGAAGATAAATCATCTTTATAAATTATTTTTGGATTTGATATTGGAATATTTTTTATTGTATCACTTTTTGATAATGTTTCTGTTGATGATAATATAATTTGTTGTTCAGTTGGTTCTTTGATAGGCGTAGCAGTAGATGTTAAATCATTCTCAATTGATATTGATGCTTGATTTTGTAATGATGGAGTTTTTGATTGTATTTGTTGTTCATCATTTTGACTAGATTCATAAGTTGATTGTTTTAAATCATGTATAGCTTGAAAACGAGTATCAACTGTATCGTGTGGATATTCATTATTATTTCTTGGAGAATTTGTAGTTTCTAAAAAAGAAATTTTCTTTTTTAATTAAAATAGATAATATTAAACTCACCTATATTTTTATTAGACGGATCATTGGTCACAGATGATTCTGACTGTTTAACTATGACCTGATCTGCATGATGAAGATCATGACAATAACAAAAATAATTAAATAAAAAATATTGTATTAATATATTAAATAATTTCATCTGAAATAATTGAATTTTTTTATTAGAATAAAAAAAAGCAGCTGTTTTTTTTGCCTAAGAACACAAAAAAACATTCAACGTCTTGTAACGACGACACATCTATACATCCATTCTGAAGGGTATTTAAAAGCGTCCAATAAAAAGAAATCATCACATATATTTTCAATTGAGTTTTACAAGAGAACAGAATGGTAGAAAAAGCGATAGCCAATTTTATGTATATATACAGGGTTTATTATTTTCAATAGTAGACTGATTTTTTTAAAATCAATGATAGAAGAATATTTAAAATTTTTTGTTTTTTTCATAAGAAAATCTTTAATGAACATTGCTTTCATTCGATACGGTAGTGTAATCTGTTATGAGTATTTTTATGATTTTAACGTCAAATATAACAACAAGACAAGTCAAGATAATCTTCTATTCAAAATGATGTCCATTAGAACTGATACACCATTGCAGTCTTTCAGAGTATGGATGTCAGAAAATAGAAAACTCACATCCTCACAATTCTTGAGATAGAAGAAAAGTTAATCCTGAATAACATCAGTGCATAATATTACGCTACTATATTAAAGTGAATGTCGACAATTGAAAGTAGTATTCATTACTAATTTTATGAAAAATTTCAACACTTCATCGAGTTGTGCGGGATCAATGTTGATCCCGAGATTGAAATTTGGAAGTTTACCAAGACCGATATGGAAAAGAGAAATTATTGAGATCGACATCAGGACTACGAGAAAAAACTTATTCCAACCTGAACTGAAGATTATAGTTAAATGTTAGTGAATTATCTTATAACCTATCGACTAAATAAACAAAAAAATAAATAAATATTGAAGGACGTTTTTTTTAGATATGATACAAATAAATTCTGGAGTAATTTTCTTTAGAACGGGACCAAAAAAATCTTGATCATGCATGATTGATTTTCAGACAGCTAAATCAACTACTTAATTAATTCGAAACAAAGCATAAAATAGATGAATCTACATAATCAAATTATTCTATATTAAATTACTAATACGATGCTCAATTAATTAATAAAATAAATATTTTTTTAAATTTTATATGGTAACACGTATTGTAAAAATCGGAGGTGCATCAATAACAGATAAAAGTGAATTTGAACATGTTAAATTATCAAATATTGATTTTATTGTTAATTTATTTAAAAATAATTATAAAAATTTAATATTAATTCATGGTGCTGGATCATTTGGGTATGATAATAATTTTTGAATATAAAATTACATTTTTTTATCATCATTTTATTCTTATTTAGTCATCATCAAGCTAAGCAATATAAATTAAATCAAGGTTATATAGATACTGATGATTATGAAAAATGTCGTTTAGGTGTTTGTGATACTCGTCGATCATTAGGTCGTTTACAACAATATTTATTAGATGCATTTGTTCGTGCTCAAATACCAGTCGTTTGTATATCACCATTTAATTTTCTTATTTCAAATCAATTTGAATTAACAAATGAAGATTATAAATATCTTTATCAACATTTAGAAATAGTTCTTTCAAATGGTTATGTTCCACTTTTACATGGTGATGTTTTATTAGATAAAAAAATTCATTGGAGAATATTAAGTGGTGATGATCTTCTATTTAAATTAGCTGAATATTTTCAACCACGTCAATGTATTTTTTTAACATCAGTACCAGGTATTCTTCAATCAAATGGAAATATTATTGAAAAATTTTATATTGATGAAAGTCAAATTGATAATTATGAACAACAATCATCAATTATTGATGTAACTGGATCAATGCATAATAAAGTGATGATTGCTAGTAATATTGTTAACAAAATAGACACATGTCAAGTATTTATTCTACAAGGTGTTAGTGAAAATGCAAAAAAACTTTTATCATCATCAATAAGTGACGATCAAAATTTTGTTTTACATGGAAGTACAAGAATTTTAAAGAAACATTGATTGTTTGCGAACATTTGCATTTCAAAAAAGAAATTATCAATATAATAGAAAGATAAAATATAGTTCTGATCATTATAACAATTACAAAATTAATAATTTCATTTGGTTTTTACATCTATTATTCATGTAGTTTGTTAAATGATGTTCAATGAGTTTTTCTTGTTTGCTAACAGAGAAATATCATCAAATGGCTATTGTAGACAAAACAAAAAATTAGATTTATTTTTTTCTATTAATATGTTTGTCATTCATTAACAAAATAGTATTCACTAGTCTTTTGCTAAAACAATCAAAGACTAATCATATTCTTGTTTGCCAACAAAAGAATATCGATCATAAATGATAGTCATTTGTCTTACTCTTTATTGAAAAGAACAGCTGTATGATCTAATGAGCAAATTTTTCTTTTGAAGGTACTACTCTCATTGATTCCTCAAGGAATTTTTCCCATTTCTAAAAAAGTCTATTCCATTAAACTGATGATTTGTTTTTACAGAACAATAAATTGTCTGAAGAAGATTAACTATTTATCGATTGCTTTTTTTCATAATAAATATATTTCATTGCATACCAAATTCACTTTATCGATTAATCAAATTGTTAACAAATAATAAGAACATCTGATAAAATAACATGGCATTAGTATCTAAAATACAATAACTATTACTTTACAAATAATTATCTGTTGAATAATAGCAAGACATTTTTAAATAGTATATTCTTTGTGAATCGTTGAATTGTACGAAACAAAACGTCTTTATTTAATTAAAAGTTCATATATAATTGATGTACTAAATGGTTTTTCTTCTCGTTCATACTTCATCGAGAATATAAGTGAAGTATACTCTTCAAATTTCCGATTAAATGAGTCGGCATTTGGCAAGCATGAAACTCGGTTATAATGGCCAGAAATTCTCATAGCTTTTTTTTTCCCTGTCATATGTTGAACATAAAAAAAAAGAAGAAATGAAGATCTACTTGTCGATTTTCCTTGAGTGTTGTAATTATCTGTCATGCATAGATATTCAAAGAATTATTCGTTTTTCTTTTTGTTCTCTTTCAATTTACTATGTTAATTTTCAAAGTGTTAATATTTTGTCATTTATGTATTCTATCATGAGAAGAGAATATTAGAGAAAATAGTCTCATGGGGTACATATACCTCTCTCTCTCTCTCTCTCTCTCTCTCTCGTCTGCTATTCGATTCAATACATTCTTTCTTCTGTTGATTGAATTGCTATTTCTCTTTTTATTACATACTCTTATATAAATACAATATAAATTTAGTTCAAATGAAAAAAAAATCGAGAGTCATTTTAAAGTTATTCTCACCTCGCTTCCCTCTAGACTATATATATGTACATATGTGTATTATAACTTGAAAGAATAGTATGACTATTGATCGAATTCAATTGTACATCGAGTCAAGTCGCTACTTGAACACATGCTTTGATATAACAAATTTTCAATTTGACGGTATGTTGATATGGTCCGTATGTTGTCGAGTATAATATGTTTTCTTTCTCACTTCTTATACATCTAGTAAAATATATGTATAAAAGAAAGCAGACACTCGTCTCTAATTTCAATATAAGTAAAAGATTAAAGGAGAACATAAGAGATTTTTTGACCGTTTGATGGTACACCTATAATACTATTCTTTCATTTTCTCCGCCTACCTAATGGATAATTGAAAAGAAAAGGAATCAGTAACAATGTTGTAAGGTTATTACACATATATATATTTATGCATTGTCAGGAAAAAAAGACATATTCAACATTACTATTCTTAATGAGATGTGCCTATTCTATTCAGCCTAGAAATGTCATATCTTGAATATGATCATCGGACTTAAAGTCATACATATATAAATATATATATGTTCGTGCCATCCCATTAGTTTGTTCTTCTTATTCTCATTTTTATGTTGATGTTAGAATGAGTGATGGAATTGTAAATGAACTAATAAGTAGTTAACTAGTATCAACACTTATTCAATCATTCATACATGCATGTAAGTTCAATAGGCCAGAGATTATATATTTTCTCTTTGTTATATATACAATGAAACATAACTAATAAAAGATGAGTAACTGACTAATAACCTAGAAAATAAACTAATAGTTATTGTATATGATACACAGTTGGAAAGGATTGATGAGAGTATACCCCCCACACACGTTTCATTAATTTATTGCACCCTTGTGGCTTAATGTAGATTAAATAAAGAAGAAAACGATATATATATATATATATATTATATACAATCGATTATTTTGAAGGTTTTTTTTTCTTCTCTTTCTCCAACTCATCATTATAATCATCAACATAATCAGTTTCGTACTATTAATATGACAATAAGAATTTATCGTCGTTGTCATTCATGCATGCAACGACTAAAACAATGTTGAATTATTTGCACGTAAGTTTTATTTGTTTTAATTTTTATATCTACGCTAATCAATAGTATTATCAATTTTCAATAAAATGCCTGATTGTTGTTCATGGTTAAGTCGGTTGTGTTGTTACCGACGACAATCACAACACACTTATATCTATTTATATAGTCCAACAATGGACGGCTCATCATCATCATCATCCTCATCATCATTATCAACATTTAATCGTCTTGCTTGTATTCTTTTTGGATTTTGTCTTGCTTTTATTATTATTCTAACAGCTATAGTTATCTATTATTTGAACAGTAATATTTTTATGATTTCCTCAAAAACAACTACTGATTCACATATATTCTCAATTGCAAAAAAACGACAATTACCAGATTTTGTTAATATTAATATAGACCCATGTGAAAATTTTTATAATTTCGTTTGTGACAAATGGATACAAAGAAAAAAAGTTGAAAAAAATGAAGATGCAGAAGAATATAAACAAAAATGGACACGTATTCAACATAGAATACATGATAAATTAATGATTAATATAAGCAATAGTCAACTAATATCAAGTAAAAGTATGAAAAAATTTGTTTTTTTTTCGTATTCTTAAATCTCGATCGATCATCTCTCATTATTTAGATATGTGTTAGAGATAGATATTGATGAGTGATGTGTATAAAAATAAAAATATTTGATTGTAGCTATTTGCTTTCGATCCTTTATATGAGAAATAATATATGTATATTTATATATAATAAACTTCTTTATTAGTTACTATATTTACTCTATGTTTAGGTGATATTTCATTATCGCAGTTATCTGTTTCAAAATTATATCAATTATGCGAAACAAAATTACCATATCGATTACTTGATGAACTTGAACATTATATTGCTCTTTTTATTCAACAAGAACCATATCGATCGCATTTAACTCTTTTCAATCAAACAAATTCATCTAATTTCACATCTTTACCAATTATTTTTCAATATAATCCATTTTTTAAAATAATTCATTCATCATCTAACAACAACAATCAATCATTTTCAACTATTATACGAATCGATCATCGTCCATTACCCTCACCTATAGCTATATTTACTAATTTAACAAGATTAAATCAAACAGCATTTAATAATCTTATAAACTTTGATAATGATTATACAAAATTTTTACAAGAAGCAAATGATATTGTCAAATTATATGAACAAGAATATAATCAAGATTCATTAATTATTAAACGAATACTATCTTCCTCAGATTATCAAATGTGTCTTTCATCATTAAATATGACAAATGGTTTAAAAAGTTTAATTCAATTATTAAATCATTTTCTTCAAAATCGTTTACGTCAATTTAATACAAAATTGATCGATAAACAAATTCGTATACTTGAAACTATTACTAATAATCATACACTAGTTGAACATCTACGACGTATTCAATTAGAATTTAAAATTATTGAACAAATTATACCTTTAGAAAATCAATCTGTTGATAATAATAGTTCATGTATTCTTCATTTACTCGATAAATTACTTGATAAACGAATACAATTAAATGAATTGTCATCAAATACTAATTTGTTTTTACACAATGCAACACAAGAATATTTTATTTCAAATGATTGGCCTTATTTAATCATGTTATATGATCGTTTATTTAAAAAAATCTCTACAGATACTCTTGTTAATTTTGTTTTTTTCGATTATTATCGACATTTAATTTATCCATATTATCAACCACATATTCATCGTTCTATTGATTTCAAAATCAATTATAGAAATGAACCTTATACTTATATATATGAAACAAATCATTCGAATTTATCATGTCATGTTAATAATTGTTTTGATATTTTAAATTGTTATCATCCATCATTAATTAATCAATTAATAGATGATAAAAATCAGGTAGTTTATAAAAGAATTTCGACCATACCTTCGGATAGAGAAACAAAAGGACTGATATTAGTTGACATCCACAATCTATATGAACTACATTATTGATAAGGAAAACAAAATTGTCATCTTTAACAGCATGTTATCGGAATTGGTGCATCCCTAATTTGGAAAAGAAGTAGAGTATCTTAGAAATAGTTTTCAGAATATCTTTACATAACAGATCAATGAAACGTGGTGAACAACGAAATTGAAGAAAAAGGCGTCTTTATGTCACCGGTTTCCATAAGTGCGTAAAACGATGATTGCTTGCAAGTGAAAGCATAGACTTACAGATTAAAGGAAAATATATGGAAAATTAACGCAGTAATACGCCGTTTCACATTGTTCAAGACATCATTTCCAACGATTGGAATGATCTTCCTAAGGATTAGCAAAAATTAGAGTATGCGAAATGAAAGAAATATTTAAAAAAAGAAAAAGATGGCATGGCTTGTAATATACACTTTTAAGTGTTTTCTGGTGTCGACGACATAAGTTCTTATTAAGTAGATTTTTTAAAGTGCATCTTGTTATATAACTACGTCAAGTGTCATTAAGTGCGAAATGTGTGCGCATAGTTGAATGTAATGAAATTTATTTGTTCTATTCATTCGATAATAGATAATCAATAATAGCAATAGAAATATTTGGATACAT